ATTTTCCAACCCATCTCCAGCACCCTTTTCATCTTGTAAAACCAAAAGTTTGTACCCATTGGGCCAGGGATTTAGGTCAGTGGCACTGTGCCTGCCTCGAAAACGCAAAGTTCTGAGTTTGATCCCTGGTACCAAAAAATGTGCCCATTAAACAATTCCCCCCTCCTCCGAGCCCCCAGCAACCACTGTTCTACTTTCTGTCTCTGTGAATTTGACTGTTTTAAGATATAAATGAAATCATATAAGTGGAATCAAGCATAATATTTTGTATCTGGTATCTTTCACTTACCATAATGTCCTCAAGTTTTATTGCAGAATTTCTTTCCTTTTTAAGGCCAAGTAATATTCCATTGTATTTATATGCTACATTTTATTTATCCATTCTAACATAGAAAGGCAATTGAGCTGTTTCTACATTTTGTGAATAATACTGGTATGGATAGTAGTATACAAATTACTATTTTTAACACACCGAACACATTTCATGATGACTAATTCCTTGGGTCTTTCAGAGGTCTCTGGGATTGCTTGCAGGGCCTCATTCTTTTTTTGTGGGTTTGAGGTCAAGGCCACAAGGCCTTGCTGCTCCCACTCACACCATAATCTGTTATACAGGCTTTCTCCAGCAGGTTTCTCTAGAACATTTGCCAATCAGAATAGATCTATATCATAAAATTATTTTCTTAAATAATCATGAAATGAAATTAATAATGATAAGAAGGCAGTGATAATTTGTTATGGAACTTCAGGTAAAATGAGCACTGAAACTGTCTATAGTCACACAGTTTACTGTGTGCCAACATGACTCTACTCTTTCAGAAAATACTTGATTAGGAAGACAAAGATAAATTTCCTGAAAATAGATTTAACCAAATTACTGTGCCTCAGTTCAGCAAAATTTTGCTTCCATTTGCAAACTCCACATCAGATGATGAATAAAGCTACAGCCATCGTTCCCAGAATTGTGGAACAAAGTAAGTTTGTGAACCCACAAGGTATCACTGTAACATACTATCACTTAGTCCTCAGCAGAGTGTCTTAGTGAGTTGGAGCTGCTATTTTTTTTTAAATGTCAGGTATTGCGTGGCTGCATTGTCATCAGATAATTAACAAAATATCTGATGCCCACAACTTAAAGGAGAGAGGTTTATTTTGGCTCACCATTTGAAAGGGTTCAGTCCATGGTTGGTTGGCTCCAAGGCAGAAACAGCATGGTGTAAGGGCAGGGCAAAGGAAAGCTGTTCAACACATGGCAGCCAAGAAGCAGAAAGAAGGAAGGGACCACAGACAAGACTACACCTTTCCAGGTCACACCAGCCTGACCAGCTTCAAAGCAGGCCTTAAGGTGCCTCCAATAGCACATTCAGCTATGAACTCATCAATGGATTAGTGCCCTATGATCCAATTGCCTTTCAAAAGCCCCACCCCGAGCACATGAGATTTTGGGACGACACTTTAGATCTAAACCATAAGAGTAGCTTAAACCACAGACTCATTTTCTTACCGTTATACAGGCTGGCAAGTCCAAGATCAAGGTGCCAGAAGGCTGCATTCCAGTTGAGAGCTTTCATCCTAGCTTGAAGACAGGTACCTTCTCACTGTGACCTCACATGGCCTTTCCTGGTGTATTCACATGGAGATAGAGGAGTCATCTTATAAGGAAGCTAGTCCCAACATGGGAGCCCTACCTACATGATCTCATCTGTACCTGATTACCACCAAAGGCCCCACCTCCAATTACCATCTTGTTGAGCATTTAGACTTTAATGCATTTTGGGGGGACACATGCATTCCGTCCATGACACGGGGTATATAGCATCTTCTCTAACCAAAAGAAAGCTCATCTTCAATTACCAAATTATTGTCTACTTTTTGGGTTTTTGTTTTTCAGTGCTGGTGATCAAACCTAGGGCCTCACTCATGATAGGCAATTGCCCTACCACTGATATATACCCTCAGTCTGATAATTTACTTTTTGAAGATTCATTTCAGGGCCGGGGATTTACCTCAGTGGTGCCATTACCTGCCTCAAAAGCACAAGGTCCCAAGTTCAATCCCCAGTACCAAAAAAAAAAAAAAAAAAGATTCATTTCAAAATCTTAACTTCACTGTGTTCACCATCACTAAACTATTATACCATGAGTTTTGTACAATACTAATCAAGTCTAACAGTGAAAGATCTGCCTTGCACCAGGCCCCAGGAACTTCCAGAAAAATATACCCATCTCTGATTTTCCTGCTACTAAGGTTTCCTCAAAGAAGTGACCTCCGCCAGGCATTAGCAATCAACAATATAACCAAGTCAGTATAAATAAACAAATATTATAGGACAAAAAGGAAATGTAATGAATTGATACTTTAAAGCACATTAATTTTTGTAAAAGGAAGCAAAAGATTATACCTGCACTTGATCTATTACAGTAAAGGAAAACATCACAGTTCTTTTTTTTGGTACCGGGGATCAAACTTGGGACCTTGTGCTTATAAGACAGGCGCCAGAACCACTGAGCTAAATCGCCAGCCCTCACAGTTTCTATCTTTAAGCCTTAACTTCTTCAAATTTGTCAACTGTCGAAACCAACCTTCTTCACATCTTTAATAGGCAGCACAGCTGACTCCATTCATATTAAACCAAGAATGCTTTTAATTATTTTAATTTTGAAATGTTGCTTTCCAATGAAGAAATACATATACAGCTTAAAAAAAAAACTTAAGCATCAGTATGAGGTTGGTAAATCTGTAAAAACTCCATTTAACAATAAATCTGAGATGGTAATACTGTCTGTGTGCCACTTGAGGGTGAATTACAGTGGGTTTTGAATGTCTTGCCAGTCAAAACAAAATCCCTTTCAGTATCTTTACCAGAAAATCCATCATGAATTTCTTTAGCAGTTAGTTAAAAATTTTCAAGTTTTTCTTTTACAAAAGTCAGAGGAAATGTCTGAGTGACAGTAAAAATTGATTGATTTAGTTCTTTCCTTTAGAATGACTGTCCAGTTAGGGAAAATGGTCCAGGCATTCAAACATTGTTCTATCGATTTCTTATTGCAGCATAAGACCAGAATCTCTTGTTTCTCCTGACATTTTTCTTTGAAATGTCTATTTCCTTATGCTTTGTTTTTTCAGGGTAAATTGTGTTCTCTACAATTAAAAAAAAAAATTCTAGGGCTGGGGATTTAGCTCAGTGGTTCCGGCACCTGCCTTGCAAGCACAAGGGCCCAAGTTTGATCCCTGGTACCAAAAAAAAAAAAAACATTCTAAAGCTTAATATTTCTTTGTACTTGGTTCTAGGTTGATTCTGGCTGTTTACAAATATGTTTGTGTGATCACAGAACAAGTTATTCAAGCTCTCTTTCTTTCTCTTTACAATCACTGAGTTAGCATTGATCATTTTGAAACTGCAGTGTAGACTCAGGAGTATGTAGCACAACTGTGTCCAAACAAAGGTCTAATGATCCCAAAGGATCATTAACTTACTCCTGAAACAAATGCCTGTAGTGAGCTGCATGCACCATAACTATCATGACATAAAACACAAGGTTTATGAAAGAATAAGTGCTCCAAAATGGTAATTGGAAACATCTATTACTAAAATAGGAAAGAAAACCTAGTCATTGTTTAGAACTTAGACAAAAAAATTTTCAGGGGAAATGACTCTCACTGTCATTGTTTGGCATCACTAGCCAATAGCAATAATGAAAAGCAGTCCACCCTTTAGGTGGGTATAGTCTTGTTTTTAAATTCCCTTCAGATACTCATGCCTGCTGTCATCAAGCAGCCATCCCCAGAGGCTACCAATGGGGAGACAAGGGAGACTTTGGTAAGATGGTGACAAATCCTATCAAGGGCTTCTTCCTGATAAACATAGTCCCAGTTTCTTAGATCTCCACCTCTTAGGGGAGGGAGCCCTCTGTCCAGTTCACTTAGTTAATCTAAGATTTTGAGTTAATTCATTTCTCCTTGCCTGTGATCGGTTTCAGAATGGTATTCATCAGACTTCTAGCCAAAGAAGATTGAAGAGAAGCAACAAGGGTTTCCAATCTCATTAATGCACCACAGGCCTCATCCTATAGCTAAACAAGACACACATATATGTGTACTGTATGTGTATGTGAGCGTGCATATATGTGTGTGTATCCTATGTATACATCTACTATTGAGATTAATAAAAATTAAAATCAATGTTTACATAAAATCGATTTAGTAAAATCTATATTCTGTTTTAGTCTTTATGTTTTTTTTCTCAGTCAAAAGATACTAAAAGCACAAATACTATCAAACAGGATTGCTCTTTTTAAAAGTAACCTTTCTTTGATGTGCTCTGTCATGGACCATTTCATTAGAATTTTCTATTAGCCACCAGAGGGCAGTACAGTCTAGCAAAAAGCTGCAGCACATTGGAAACTAGTAATAAGCAGCCATTTGATGAGAATGACAGGTTTCGCCAAAGAAAAGATTTCTACTAAGTACTATAAGAAATATACATAGTCTAACTGGTAGGCAACTTTAGACACTCAGTGTTAAGAGTGTAGGATCAGAACATTTTAAAAAAGAGTCTAAAAGAATTTAAGGGGAAAAAAAAGTCTAGGATCAGATTGACTGCCTTTAAATTTCACCTCCACATTAACAGCAGTGTGAACTTGGCAGTTTTTACCCTCTCTGTTTCCTTACCTGGAAAATGATTATAATACAGTACTTATGAATACTTAATTAGGACAGTAACTGCCCAGTGCATAGTGAATGTGCACTGTGTTGGCTCCTATAAAAGGTTAAGGAAGGACCTGCCGGCCAGAGCAGGAGGGGAGCCGGGTCCTGCCTGTGGGTTTGCGGGTCCCACCGCGGCCGCTCTCAGGCACCTGTTTTCCTCTCCGTCCCGGAATGGAGCCAAGACGAGAATAAAGGAAATTAAATAGTACATGGAGATCGGGTGTCTGGGCAGCGTCTTGGATAAAAATCATCCCTGACAGAAATGTAAATCATGTCACTGTCATCAGTGAGCACCGTAACAAAGGCATCCAGGGCCTTCAAATAAAAGCAGTTCATCTGTGCTTTCATTTCATCTTCAATATCCAGATCACCTAAAAAGGCACAAGAGGAGGAAGGCCTATTATACTCATATAAAACAACTTACCAGCATCCAGAAGTTTTCTCACACGCAAATAATTGATGGTAAGCCTCATAACAGAAGCCTTATCAAGATGTGAGCTCACATTATGGGGAAGTGGCAACTGATGAGCAAGCTCATAAAATACTTTAGACTCTTTGCTTCGCCGAGATCTGGCTGCATCTCTAGACTTTTCTTTTCAACGCTCAGAACTTATCCTACTTAACGAGAAGAAGAAAAATAAAAGAAAAGAAAAAAGAGGAAGAAAAGGGACAAAAACATGGATGTTAGTTTGTTGAATAAAACTAAATTTACATTTTTCTGCTCACCACACAATTATAACAAGCAGTGTAATTAGTTATATGAGACTTGTCTAGTCAATAAACATTTTTATACAAAAAAAATTTTTTTTAAAGGTTAAGGATACTGGAGCCATACTGATGGGTGCTCTGGGCAAATTACGCTTCTTAGCTTCAGTTTCTTCATCTGAAAAATTTAACTCATAATATCAACCCCATTTTAACTGCTTAAAGAGTAAATGTACATACTTAGCACAGTGCCTGGGATACGTAAAATGTAGTAAGTATATGCTTCTTGTATTATATGTAATATTCTTATCATTACTAATTATTGAATCTGTAATGAAAACCTTGTCACTGGTATTGGTGCCACTTACAGTTTACCATAAGGCACATTTGAGAAACAGCAACCTGGAGTACATTTTCCAATTCTGGCACCCGGCCACAGCCTGACTGCTCACTGCTTTTCCAAAGCTTTGCCTCTACCTGAATAACAGATGGAAAGTGAGACTTTTATCTTTGTCACAGACAATGTGTATAATTCATGTCCCCTTCCTAACATTGCTTTCTTTTCAGAAGTAGATCACTCAGGTACATCATTCAAGAGCTTCACGTTTCTGCTAATGAGACTGTGTGGAAGATGTCATCTCTTGTTTCTTTCTGGACAGATTTTTGCAGATCAGAACAAACATCTCCCTTCTCCCTCAGCTGTCTCTGCTGCTGGGTCTTACGCCTCAGCGTTGATACTCCACCCTGGCTTACATCCTCCCACCTCCATGGAGAGGCCTGTCTTTTTAAAACAATTAGACCTGAGCCAGCTGTAGTGGTGCAAGCCTGTAGTCCCAGCACTCAGCAAGCTGAGGCAAGTATAAGGCCACCCTGGGTCAGGTATGAGTTCAAGACCAGCTTGAACTATGTAACAGAACCCTGTATCAAAAGACAAAGGAAAAAACCTATTTCAAAATGATATAAAAACATCATCAATCGTTTTATACTCTTTATCATACCTGCAAGAAGAGTTTGATGATGTTGAATTGTTGCGCAGCACATAGTCTCTTTTAGTAATAAAACAATTTTCTCAAACAAAAAAATAATAATCTCGTGAGTTTATTGACATTTGGGGGAGATTTGGAGTTTGCCATAATGAAGCAAGAGGGCCATGCTGCTTTTGCCTGGCCCTCAAATCCCATTGCCGCTGGCCAGTTGGGTCAATTCTTGGCAATGGATTGATTTCTCCATCAGTTTTGCCCCATCTCACCTCTGAACTTCCTATTCCACTGGACACAGTCATTGCTCAAATCAACTCCATTCTGGATGGAGCTGCCCTGGGTAACAGCACCAGGAGACAGAGCCAGGGCCTGTGTTGAGCTACTGTAAGCCCTGGATGGCTTCCAGAGCACAAGTTCCCCCTGTAGGCTAAGGGGTCTGTTTTCCCAGTTGACGGTTTTCACCAAGTTAAGAGTTCAAAAGCCTTGCCTACAAAAGTCAGAACTTCTGTAGCTGGACAACTGGTGGTTCCAGTGTGGTCATGCCTGCCCTTTAAATGTGGAAACTGAAGCACTTTGTAAAACCTGAAAACAATTTAAGACATGAAAAAGGGCTCCCCCACCCTACCCTAAAATAGGAATTTTCATGCACTGTAGAAACCATTCAGAGGCAAAACATCACATCCTAGTGAATATAATAGGGTCTTGCATCCCCCGCTTATTTGAACACAACTCTCATTGACTTAAAAGTGACATTTCCAAACTGGCTGCTAGAATAATTTGTCTCCAAAACAAAGCTGGGTGCATTTGTTCTGGTAGAAAGGCTTCTCTTCTTTGTCCATGGATAATTTGATACAACATTCATTCATTCATTCAAGGGTGACTCTCATTTGAAAAATTTCTCAATGAGACCATTTAAAAAATATTTTTTAATCCAGAGCTCTCATGAGTTAGACTCTAAGGCCTCTTTCAGGCTTCAGCCTTGTCCCTGTTATCTTAATAGCAATGGTAATAATTGATCTTTGGAAGTAAAATTCGTCACAGTAAATTCAAACTAAAAATGACCATCTTTCCCCAAAATGTCCTTTGGACTATGTGGCTTTGGACTGCACAGCTTGTACCTACAATTTTGTTTTGTTTTGTTTTGGTACCAGGGATCAAACTGGGGACCTTGTGTTTGCGAGGCAGGCGAAGAAACCACTGAGCTAAATCCTGGCCCCTGTACCTACACTTTTAAACCAGAGATTTGCTAAGTGCATCAACCCACCCAGCCCTCCTCACCGCCATTAAAATGAGTTTTCAGCCCTAAGACTTGGAAGGGAAGTCACCTAATGAAGGGACATGCATCCACATGCCTGTGGCTGTTTCAAGAAGGGTAACAAATCTCTCAGTGTTCAAAAACAGTGCTCTGGAAACCAGAGCAGCAGGTAATGTTATTTTCTCTCCTGGAAAAGTCCCCATCAGAGACCAGCCTTCTCCTACCTACCTTCTCCAGTTCCCTGCACTACCTGGCCCCTTCGATCAGAATTCCTATACATTTCAGGGCTTGCATTTTTCTCAGGCAGAGGTGAGGCCTGAGGAAGAGGACGCTCCAAAATCACATCTTCATTAACTCAAACAAAGCAGACATGCAGGGTTTACAGCTTGGGCCTATGAATCTTCTTCGTGATGGTTCCCATGTCTCTTTAAATAAACAATGTAGAAAGAAAAATATTAGAGTCTCTTCTCACAGTCATTTTGAAAATGACCTGTGTGGGAGAGGTAAACCTAAGGCAGTGCCTGTGTGGAGCTCTGGCTTCACTGTCATGGTTGCCTCTCCCGAAAAGCAACCAACTCACAGGTTACCACAATACCTGTGTGTACATTAAAAATCTCTCTAATACTAAAGGTAAGATGAAGTTAAATTTGGAACTTATCAGAAGATAAGTTCAACTTCATATGTTTTTAGCATATGAATAGGCTTCAAAAGAATAATCAGCATTTAAAGTCAGCGTAGCCCTTTAAGACATAAATAACTGAAAGAATGAGATTGTTAAATATCAAAGAGGTTACTATTACATCTTAAATTTCCCCTTGAGAGAGAAGTGAATGATCAAATTCAGAAACACTTCATTTGATAGAGCTAAATGCTATCCTTCAACTTGCTAATCTCCTTCTGAGATTTTGCTCTTCACTTGAGCAAATTAACTGAGGATGAATGATGATCAAAAGAAAAACTTACGCAGAGCTAACTCCATAAATTGCTGGTGATACTGAAACACAGATCAGAAAAATCTCCCTTTAGACACAGGAAGATCAGAAACAAAAGGCACAGATATAAGTAGGAGATATCTGCTATAAAATAAATAGAAAGAAAGCAGGAACTGGAAGACTGGAAGAGGAGTTGAGAATGACACAGTAAACAGAATTTAGAGGAACTGGGTCCCCCTGTGTATCTCGCTGGGCAGGCAGTGCCTGAATTATGAGGAGTTCCTGGGTTGGAGCCTTCTGTACCTACCCCGTCCCCTCCCTCCCACATAAACCAATAGGCTTTTTTATAAATAGGGTTTATACAAGGCCCTTGAACCAAGTTGAAATGAACAGAGGAAGTTTACATGAGTTAAGAAGGCCCTATTTTGAAAAATATTATTCCAAAAAATCACTCCTGGAGTATATATACTACACACAAACCAAAAGCCTGTGTGTAAGGTGAGTCATTGTAGTCTTCCTTGCATAGAAAGAAGACAGAGGCAGAGAAGTGAAAAGAGGGGAAAAGAGTAAAAGGGAGGGTGGGAAGGGGAGAAAGATGGAAAAGGGGGAAAAAGAAGAGGAGAAAGAGGAGGGGGAGGAAGAAGAAATTATTGGAAAAAACTCAAATGTCCATTAATAGGGGACTGGTTAAACAAATTATGCTTCATCTCTCAATAGAATAATATAGAATGTAAAAATAATAAATTTGAGGGTGTTATCCAAGACACACTGAGGCTCAAAGGTAAATACAATGTGTTATTTTGGGTGGAAGAATGGGGAGGGGAAGGGACATACATTTGTATTTACTTAAGAAATCCTGGAAGAAAATGAGAAATTAATGAAAGTGGTCTCTTATTGAGACAGAACAAATGGATTAATGGGCCTCAATGGGCACTTCTGGATGAATAGCTTTTAAATTATGTCTATTTTTAACCCACATGAATGTATTATTTATAGAGAATTTTCATTTAAAATAGTAATACAACTCAATAATAAAACAAGCCTAGGGCTGGGGATTTAGCTCTGCCTGCCTCACAAGCGCAAGGTCCCGAGTTCGATCTCTAGTACCAAAAAAAAAAAAAACCCTATATTTTTCAACAGGCAACAAATTTGTACACTTCACTGAAGAAAGCATGAGTGTAGCAAATAAGCACATGAAAAGATTCTCAACATCATTGGTCATAAAGGAAATGCAAATTAAAATCAGAATGGCTTAAATAAAAGAATCAGACAGCACTATACACAAGGAAGGTACGGAACAACTGGAATTTGTGCATTGCTGGTGACAATGTAAAATGATGCAGCCACTTTGGAAAATGGCCTCAGTCTCATACAAAATTTAACATACATTTTAGCATATGACCCAGCAATCCTGTGCATATATAACCAACAAAAATGAAGACATGCCACACAAAAACACAAACCCATACACAAGTGTTTATAGCAGTTCTAATCATAATCACCAAGAACTGGATCTGACTCAAATGTCTACCAGTTTGTGTTGATTATTTGGGTAAATAGTTACATTCCTGAAACACTACTTAGCAATTAAAAGGAATGAATTACTAATACATGTAACTTCTTGAATAAATTTCAAATGCATTGTGCTAAGTGAAAGAAGCCAGCATACTTGATATACAATTCCACTTATATGACACATAAGAAAGGTAATATTACAGAGACAAAACACAAATTAGTGGCCAG